ATGGAGCCTGTGGAAAAACAACCACTGTATGCTTGTGAGAGAATGACACTGAAAAAGGAAAGTGATGTTTTAGTGTTATTATGAAAATAGTTTTGATCTCTCAAACCCCTTGAAATGGTCTCAAAGAACTACAGTTCCTGGACCAACATTGAGAATCACTGCCCTAGACAAAGTCTAGACACCAGATACACGTAAGAATGTTCACAGCAGCACTGTACATAATAGCAAAACCTAGACATAACTCCAAATCCATCAACTGGTATATTCATTCTATGAACTACTACACAGCTATAAAAAGGAATCAATACCAGTATGGTTATACTTGACAATATGAATGACTTGAGCCACAGAAGCAAGTCCTGGAAAAATATATTCAGCTTTTATTTAAAGTTTAAATGAGGTAAACTTAATAAAGTACTGGTGAGGCATACATCACAGGTGGTAAAGCTAATGAAAAGCAAGAGAAGGAATAACACCACATGCCAGACTGGCAGGGACGGGGGCTACCCAGGAGGCTCTAATCCTTTGGCTGAATGGTGAGTACATGGGTGTTTAAGTTATTCATGTTTTATACATTCTGTACCTATCAGATCTTTCTAAATTAAAAAACAATAACAAAAATGAAAAGACTAGAAAAAGTTATTGGATGAGAGGAAATTATTTAACCTAACAGCAATGGAAGAAACCACCAATGAATGGGAAATTTTGAATACATTCCAAAAATGAACAAAGTATGTAACATAAACAAGAAAAGCCCAAACCAATTATAAAGTCGCACTAATGAAAAAAAAAAATTAAACTACAGGTGGATGTAAACATATGAAAAGTTTCTTCTCACTAGTCATCAAATGCAAAAACTAAAATCACCATCAGTTAAGAAATCATGACACTAAATACTCCCGTGGTGAGACTAACACTTTCATATGCGCAAGTAGGAATGAATCTTGGGCAACTTCTATAGAGGAAAGTTTAACATATGAAATAAAGTCTTAAAAATACACTATTAAACCCAGTAATTCTACATTTAGACATGAGTCTTAAGGAAATAATCTGTACAAAATGTTGTATTAACAAAAAACTAAAAAGAATATAAATGTCCAAAAAGGGACTATTTAAGACCAAAGATAAAATTTTATTTATAGAACTGAATATTAAATGGTAACGTAGGGTGTTGCTTACTTCATAAGTATGGGGAAATAAGATTATATCAGTATAAAAATGCAGCACAAAATTAGATACAGAATGGTCTTTTAACTATGTTTTTAAAAATGTATAGAAATAAAGACCGGGGAGAAAAAAATCATCCAATGTTAGCAGAGCTATCTCTGGATGGTGAGCTTATGCGGGGAGGAGGGGTTCTTCAGACGACGGTTTTGGTATCATCCAAATATATTTAAGTGAATCATATACATACTTGCAAAGTCAGACAACAAACCTAAAATTACAAACCCCACAAACCTCTCAATAACTCTCCAAACTCACTAACGCGCAAAGGTATCGCTTAGGTGTCCAAGGCTCTCTTACACTGCAGGGCCACTGTTCTTAGGCGTGTGTGCTCACCCCTCCCCAGGTTCCTCAAAGCGGACTTCCGCTGGCTTCCTCAACGTGCCCCGTACCCTGTCACTGCAGGGCCTTAGCTCACACTATGGGATCGACCTGGGTCACATTTTCCACCTGGCCGAGCTCCACCATCTTCCAAAGTCCATGAGAAACACCACTTTTTCTGTGATTTTTTTTTCTAACTCTGTGCTAACCCAGCCACAGCAAACAGATGTGATTTTTCCTTATCTTTGACTCTTACAGAAATGATGGTAGCACTCTTACTACTCTTCATAAATTTGCCTTAACTTCTGTGTTAACGCCTCTACTAGATTCTGGTGGTTTAGGAAGGGGCTCTATGCTTCTTCAGCTTTCTCTAATATTGACATACAGTTTCCCAGAATTAAGCACATACCGAGTATCTGAGGAACTGAATATATTATTGTCACAAGGGATTAGTCTCTTGCCTGGGTCACAAGGAGGAAGAGAGAACAGGAAATGTTACTCATTTGAAACTCAGCATGGGATTTCTCACAGAAACAATGAAGCAAAAAGGACCATTAATAATGTATCAAGCAATAATGGAGTTGTATTTTATTCTTTTGCCAGCTATCCATAATTGGTAACTTAATTTCTATGGAAACAGAAATGTACTTGGGATTCCCAAGAATCTACCTCCAAAGAGTTTTTGGAGTACAGCCAGTGCTTAAAGCGGTATACTTGCGGATAATAAATATTTTCCTTTAGGAAAAACATTACGATTGTGTAAGTCTGCCTTAAGCCTCTTCTGAAACAAAATATTGTTAAAGACAATAGAAAGGGGGACATGAAAGAGGAAGAAGGAAAGTGGATGTTCTAAACATCCGAGTTAATTTCTAAAAAGTAAACTTGAAAAGGCGAACACAGGTAAATCAAAAAACCCCTTTGTCACCTTCCTATTCTACCTTTACTTGATGCTCTATTTCAGGAAACAAGCGAAAGTTTAAGAGGAGAAAGTATTTAAAGGTTCTGATTTTCCTTTCTCATGCAACTCTTTAAATTAAACTTATATTTACAACGGCTGTGCAGATAACTCACCCACATGCATTCACACATACCCAAGTGTGTATATTTAAGGACAAAACTCGCCCTATACTTAATGCCATACTGTGCTCTACTTAGAAAATATACTTGTCTTTATGAGACATATTGTGAGGGCTGCTCTTTGCCGGATTTTGGTGGTGGAGGGAAGCCAGTTAGGAGAGCTCTTAATACAGATTTGGACTGATCTCCCCGGGTATATATTTAAGCACTGCTATATTCATTCAAAGAGTATGTACCGAGAACTGTGCTAGGTATACAGAGGTGAGTCCAACCTTGCCCTCAATGTCCACAGGTCGCCCAGACCTACATATGTTCTACTGGAGGAAATGAACAATAAGCAAGTAAACAAATGAATGAGATGACTACAGGCTATGGTAAGGGTAGCAAAGGAGACAAAAATAAACAAGACAGGTAGGCTATTTAATACTCAGCAAAGGCCTCTCATACACATTTAAACCAAGATGGAAAAGAAAAGGACCCAGCCATGCACAGTATCTGGGTAAGAACCTTCCAGACAAAAGTGAAAAGGTCCTGAGATGGAAACAGACTCAGTCTTTGAAGAACATAAAAGAGGCAGTGTGGCTGGTTGTGTTTTTCAAACTGTGGGTCACATTAGTAGGTTGTGATAACAATTTTGTGGGTCACTGTGTATCCGGAAGTCATAGGTTTTCAGAATAAATCTTTAACAAACTTTTGCTTCAGTTTCGTGTGTGCACGTGTACTGGATTGCAATGTATATACGTTTCTTACTGTGGGCAGTGGTGAAAAATGTACCAAGCAAGTAGGAACAGGTGGGGGAAAGAATGCGAGTGTGTGCATGGCCTTGCGGTGTAGGTCACTATAAAGAACTGGGATTTTCTTTCTTCTAAACAGAGTAGGGAGGAACTGAAGAGCTTCAAGATGGGGAATGACATGATATAATTCAACGGGATGGTGCTGCCAAAAGATTACTATAGTGAAATTCAGTAGCGCTGAGCGCGAGCCCCAGCCTAGCCACTAAACACCAGGGATTTTAGGCAAATCAATTAACCAACCTCTCTAACCTGACTTTCTTCATTTTAAAAATAAGAAGGTTGGGGCAAGATGATCTTTAAGATCTTGTCTATTGCTACATTTCTATGACTATATTCTTCTTCCTCACTTGGGTGTAAGTAAAAGTATTGGGGAGACACTAGCTCATTAGGTCAAGTTCTGGGTTAACTTCTTAAAATGTTACAAACTGTGTAGCTATAAGAGCCACGTTTGCATAGAAAGCAATTTTAGAATTATTTCTTTACTGGAAGTAGCTGTATTATTAGAAATGAGATCTCTGGGCTAAAAGTGAATCAAGTGCTGTTGCAACTCTCTGATACAAAGTTTGGGATGTGAAGAAAGTTGACAGGGAGGCATGAAAAGGTTACTGACCATGTTATTTGGAACAGATGTCCTTATTTGTTCTAGGTAATCAACTGACATATAACCTAAGGGCAATCTAAAATTGCAGGGAACGTCTCTGCTTAGCACTAAAGTCAACCCTATTTCCTTCCACAGTAACTAAAATGACTATTGAGGCAAAATATTCATGGGAGCCTGCTATATGCTAACCCCATGCTGGACAGTTTGATATACATCTTTTCATTAAATCCTCCAAATTATTCACATTTCACAGCTATGGGAAAACAGAGGCTCAGAAAAGACAAATAAGCTAATAAGTGGCAGGGTCAGGATTAGAATAGTTATACTAGATTTATATCAAATTATCCTGCATGTTTTTAAAAATCACTGTACACGGATTAAATCATCAGTTAAAAACTGGACAACTCAAGTATCTGTGACATCTGGACACACAATGTTCAAGCACTACATCAATTCTGGACGCACAGGTACTTTGCCAGGTGCTTGTGGGATGAAAAGATAAGAAATTGTTCCAGCACCGGAGGGCCTACTCCGTGGGTAGCATGTTGGGTTGCATGATGTGGAACTAGGCAAAATATCCAAGGAATCTGGCGCCCAAATTAAGTACACGTGAGTGCATACTATCATGGCAGGGTCCAGGTTCATTTTCGTGATTGCTGCTGGTGAAGAAAGGTCAGCAGGGGACCCGTGCATTGGACAGTGTCACCAGTGCCGTGGGCCTAGCAAGTGTCCTACAAGTTCCATAAACTCGAGATGCTAGAAACTCACCGATTTCCAACTTAGCCCTTTAGCAAGCAATGGACGCGTCGGCTGCCCGATCGGAGCCGCGTGCATGGCGTGTTAAGGAAAGGAAAACCTTGGAAACATGCAGGGCACCGCCCCGGTGAGGGTCGACACGGTCCCTAACGCTTCCCACGGAGACAGCAGCAAACACTCCAGCAAAGTTGGGGACGCTCGTTGCCCAGCGAGAACGTGATACCCACCTGTCAAATACTCAACTTCGAACCTCCGTCGGGTCTCGGAGATGAGCTTGGCTTTATTCTGGGCTTGGCACTGGAAGGAAGACAAGAGACGCTCAGGCACCAAGCGCACCATCCCGCTTCCCCTCAGCCCAGCCCACCTGCACCTGGAAGCGCGGCCACCGGCCTCAGAGAGGATTCGGGTCTGAGATGGGGGCCGGCAACGGTGCGGTGCGGTGCGATCGGCTCCTCACCTCGGCCATGGTCGCGGGCGTGGACGTGATTGCAGTCGCTGTCGCCACTTCCACAGCTGCCGTCCGAGTCTCTCATCACCCACCAGGCCGGCCCAGAGGTATAGAGGGAAGGGCGGGAGGTGGAGGCGGTCGCGTGACACCGGAAGGCGGGCGGAGGCGTCACAATGCCACCCAATGCGACACAGCGTCCTGGGTCTGGAGGCGGGACTAGGCTGTCAGCTTAGCTTGCCATTCGCTTCTTGTTCGCACCCCCTGCTGTTCCCTGCACTGCGGACCCACCCCCGCCAGCCACCGGATCGTGAGCGCGTCCCCCGCGGAACCCCACCCCGGCGAGCTCCACCTGCCATTCGCTTTCGCAACCTTCTCCGGAGGCCCCGCCTCCTCAGCCTCCCTCGGCCACCTTTTCCTGGCTAGCTCGGCGGGCTCCGCCTCCTCTGAGCTCAATGCCGCCTCTGGCCCGGCCCTCCCAGGATGCTGCGCGCGGGCGGGAGGTTTGGAGCCTCTGGCCACTGCTCCCAGGCCTCGGAAAAGGGGCCGTTATCGGACGCAGGGCTCTGCGCGCGGAGGTAGGGCCGGCGTTTGTTCCCTACCCTGGCATTCGCGGAGCGGGCAGTGGGGCTGGGGTTGCTCCCCTGTCCTGTCATTGCGGGAGAGCGGGAAGGAAGCCGGCGTCCTGGAGGCCTTTATCACCGTATGGATGTCCATCATTTTGTGGAATGATAACTAGATTTAAGTAAGTGCTTGCTATATTCAGGAATATTTCTCTTGCAACTTTCTTCAACCCTGGGAACACTTGGAGTGTGAGATACTTAACAAGCAATGTATCTTTCAAATCTTTCAACTGAAACAGTGTGTAAAGTTAAGAGATGTCAAGTGTCTTACATTATTAATTAAGGTAATTGTTCTCAAAGCAAGGGGCAATTTTGCCTCCCAGGGGACATTTGGCAATGTCTGGAGACATTTTTGTTGTCACAACTGGAAGGGCAGTCCTGCTACTGGCATCTGGTGGGTAGGATACTGCTAAATCCTACAATGCACCGGACAGCCCCCGCAAGCTATTCATTGCAAAATGTCAGGAAGTGCCAAAATTGAGAAAGATTGATTCATAACTTACTGGAGCAATTTGTAAAGTTGGTGGTTAAAAAATTGAAAGCAAATCGTTTTGCATTCAATAATACCGCCTTTTTTAAAAATTGAAAGATACTGAAAACTACACAGATATTGTAAGAAGAACAGTCCCCATGTTTCCACCATCCCTGGTTAACCATGATCGACATTTTAGCATGTTTGACCCCAGACTTTCTTGTTTATGTTTTTATAGAGAAAAAAGGAACATTGTTTCAAAATTATTTGGATACTTTCTTAATACTATTTCAGGTAAGGCATACCTCGTTTTATTGCGTTTTGCTTTATTGTCCTTCATAGGTGTTGCGTTTTTACAAGTTGAAGGCAAGACCCTCCACCAGCAAAAAGATTATGACTCACTTTATTGCGATACTCACTTTATTACCGTGGTCTGGAACCGAACCTGCAGTATCTCCGAGGTATGCCTGTATAGCTAAAGTTTTCCTCTGGTTCCACTCCCCTACCCTGATATCCATACCCTTGTCCACGATAAATAGTAGTCATTACGAATGTGGCATGAATCTTTACAGCTTTTTTTAATTTTATTTTTGACCAGGCTGCCTGGGTTTGAATCCTGGCTCTGTCACTTCCTAGCTGTAAAAGCCTTTGAGAAGATCCTTGAACTCCATGCCTCAGTTTCACATATATGGAGTGGGATAATAGTGCCTATGGCACAAGGATGTCATGAGGAATAAATGAGTGAGTACAAATTCCAACAGTACCCAGCACAGAGAAAGCACTCGGAACATAGCCATTGTAGGTAAACAGAAAATATACCGTATTTGCCCATGTATAAGACGCACCTTAACTTTGGGGCCCAAAATTTGAAAAAAAAATGTATTACATAAAGTTATTGAATTCAAGTTTTAGTCATCATAAAATTCATACAACTACTCATCACTGTCAAAACTCCCAACCATTAGCTTGTCCTCATCTGTGTCTGATGACGAATCACTGTCTTCACATATTGCCTCGTCCTCAGCGGGAAATGCAAGTAAAAAAAATCTACAACCACTGTATAAGACGCACCCAGTTTTTAGACCCCAAATTTTTCTAAAAAAGGTGCGTCTTCTACATGGGGAAATACTGTATAATGCTGTTTTATGTGTTTTGATTTAGATAAATAATGTGCTGCAGTCTATGTTTTTCTGCAACTTAATTTTTCTCACTTTATTTTTGCAATTTAGCCATGATGATATACATAGATCTAATTCATTTTAACTATGGTATGATATTCCATATATATTTATTCATTCCCCTATTGGTGGTAGTGGACATGTTTACTGTTTTTTTATATTATCCATAACAGCACAGTGAAAATTCTAGAGCAATGTCTTTATGCATTATTTTGTAGAATTATTTCTCTCAGTTCGTATCTAGAAATGAAACTGTTGGATATATGCATTTCCATTTACTGTCAAATTGCCTTCCAAAGTCACCTCTCCCTTCAATAAAGTACTTATAATTATTTCCTAATTGGTGACTCTGCCTCCAGTCTTACCTTACCTCCATCTTCAACACTGTCACCAAGATCTTTATCATTCAGAAGTATAATCTTATGATCTCTATTTTTGAAATCTTTCAGTGGTTTATTATTGCTACCTAAAGTTAGAAGTCCTTAGTCTGACACAGAAAACCTTCTTTAACTTAATTTTTCCTAACTCTCTTAGTGGATCACAATTCCCCCACATTCATCCGCATTTCAGGTCCACTAGGTATTGTTGAGAAAGGGACAGGCGGAATGGATTCTGGGTAGGCCCCAACAAATGACTTCTAGCTATATAGGTAGAGAAAAGTTTTAACAGTGGACCTACTCTGTAGCCAAGTTAATTAGGTAACAATGTCCTGTATGTTGAAAAAAGCACATCTTTCAATATTATGCTCATAGGATTATGTTTAATATTATTAGATGAGACGTTTAGCTAGGTGTCTTCTTTTTCTTCCAAAGATACTTTGTATTGGTTGCAATTGATACAGTTTCTTAGAGACTTTTTTATATTTCATCTGCAGTTGATACAGTGCTCTTTGCAGGTCTTCCTGAACCAGACCTGTAGTAATTTAAAGAGTTCTGAAATTCACATGGCCCAAATGAATTTAGTAGCATTTAAAGGGATCATTGTTTATTTGATTGGGAGTCTGGTGGAGATCGGATGAGGATGATAATTTGCCAACCTACTGTGTTATCATATATTATTATTTTTCTAGTGTACTCACACATCTGTTTTCATTTTATGTATAAAATATATAGTTAACTTTTGTGTGTGGTAATACAGAACAGGAAAAGCTCAAATTAATTATGCAGCATTTTATAAATGCTTTGCTTCCAAATCTCCCCTCCACCCCTGCCCCCATAACTACAACAGGAGGTAAAATTTAACTGGCCTGAATTACCAGTTTTTTCTGTAGCCAGTGTAGTAAGGGTACTAAGTAAACAGTCAAATGACTAATAGATTGGAATAGTAAGCCTGGTGCCCTGATGATCAGGGTTTGATTAATCAGGGCTTGTTTATATTGGTTTAAGAACCTTTAAATTGAACCTTAGTTTCACTTGTTTCCAGATTATTTCTTTAAACAAATTATTTTTTAAATCAAAGTTTATTGGGGTGACAACGGTTAGTAAAGTTACATAGGTTTCAGGTGTAGAATTCTGTAATACATCGGTGGGATACTATTCTGCCATAAAAAAAGGATGAAAGTGCCATTTGTGACAACATGGATGGATCTTGAGATTATTATGCTAAACGAAATGTCAGACAGAAAAAGTCGAAGAATGTATGATTTCACAGGTTATTTCTATCTAAAAAATAAAATTACGACTTATTCCATAGGTTTAAAGGTTTGTTTTATGAACATATGCTAAGAACTTTTACTCTTAAAACAGATGTTGCATTAGTATAAAATAAGACAGATATACACATGTATGTGAAGTTACTAATAAGCCTTGAGATTACAGAAAATTTGAGGAAAAAATTTTATCTTCATAAAGACATTAATATATTAGCAGCTTCTAATTTTTAACTTTGAAGGTGGCCTTTTAGTATATTGAAAATATACATGTTTTGGCAATAACATTTTAAAAGAAAAAAAATCATCTTTGATATAATAGTCATTTATGTTTTTAAATCTATTTGAGTTTAAGTTCATGAGAATAAGTTTGCTTTTTGCTTAGCGCTCATGCTTAAATGCATGTTGGATTAGGATAATAGCAGGGTTTTGAATACCATGCTAAATTTTATAGCGATGGTTTGCAATATTTTATTTGTACATTGTACATATGTTCAATACACAATGTTTAGCATCTATCTTTTCGAGTAGTAATTCAAGGATCAGATCTGTTGAGAAGCGGGTGTGTGTGCACACAAGGTTTTTTAATTAGGAGGCAGTTACTGAATCAAGTTTGTGATTTGGAACAAAAACTGAGGTAACCTAAATAAACTGGCATATTGGAGGGGAGAGAGACTAGAGTAAGGAAAACCAATTAAGGAGCTTTAACCTCAGCCTAAGTGAGAGCTGAAAGCCTGAACTATGGTAATTGGAACAGATAGTTAGAAGATAGATATTTCTAAATTAAGGAACTTGGTGATAGCCTTAAAAGAACAGAATGTAAGGGGCCTGATTTTCCTAAGTAGTAACTGTCAGGGTGCAACAATACACACACACTATAAAGTTGAGTGAAGCGGGGATTCTACTGACCTTTTAGCAATCAGATTCTCCTTACTCCTATCACACTCAGATATTGATGAGCACTGTGTTGATTAAACATTGGTTGTGACATTAAATATTAAAATAACAAAATGCTTTTCCATACAGAAGTTATTTTTGGTTGTTTTTAGTATGATTAGGAAATCTGAAAATCTTTTTGAGTAGGTAATAACAAACAGTGTGTTCTCAGATCTTTGTCTCAGAATGTATTGTTTTACGCTTTTCCTTTTTTAAGAAATCTTCTGAGAGACCTGACGTGGCTGTGGGAAATTTGAAATACAGAAATTATTATTCATACATTTTGATGTAATATGTTTATTTCCTTTCAAGTGAAAGATAGGTTCATAAGTAGAAGCCACACCTTTGATTTACCTATATTCTTTACTGTGGAAACTGAAACGACTTTGTGTGTCTCAGATCTTTGATATTAATTGCCTAACAACAAACCAGTAAGCCAGTGACTTCTGCTAGTTTGTATTATGATACAATGTCACCCTTTACTTCAGGTCATAGGTTTCATGAAATTCTCAAAAACAGTATCATCAATTTAATGTAAAAACAAAACAAAACAAATACCATAGAGAAATGCATTGTGTTTACCTGTTCCTGCATAACAAATTACTCCCAGACTTAGCTTAAAACAACAAGCATTTATGATCTCAAATTTTCTGAGGATCAGGAATTTGGGAGCAGCTTAGCTGGGTGGCTCTACTCAAGGTCCCTCTAAGGGAGACTGAGTTATCTAAAGGCTTGACTAGGACTAGAGAATCTGACCCCAAGAAGGGTCACCCACGTGGCTACTGGCAAAAGGCCTCAATCCCTCGCTGTCTTTTGCCAGGAAGCCATAGTTACCTGCTGTGTGCACATCTCCAAGGCGCTGCCTGAGTGTCGTGATGTGGCAGGTGGCTTTCTCCAGTGCAAGTGATCAACAGAAGAGGTCAGTAAGAAAGCCACAGTACTCTGTGATCCAGTCTTGGAAGCCACACACTGTCACTTCTGCCATATTCTATTGGCTAGATAAGTCATAATGAGCAGCCCTCACTCAAGGGGAGAATTAAATGTCACTCCTTGATGGAAGGAGCTTCAAAGAATTTGTGAACAGGGCCGGCCGAGTGGCGCGATGGTTAAGAACTCGCTTGGGATGCCAGAGGGCCCCGGTTCGGATCCCACATATGAGGGCCAGTGACACTGCCCTCTACAGCTAAGATGCTGAACAACAGCTCAACCTGGAGCTGGGCTGCCATGAGTCGCTGGCGACGGCGTAGGCTGCAGTCCCTGTGGCAGTGGGTTGCCATGGGCTACCGTGTGTAGCCAGCAGCCAGCGTGAGCGGCCAGCAGCTGCAGTGAGCGGCCGTCCAGAAGCCAGCGACTGATCTGCCTCACCCGGGAAGAGCGCAATGATGGTGCCAACTTGGGCCAGTGAAGCAGCGTCCTCCACAACTAGACTGAAGAACAAAACGACAGCAACTTGTCTGTTCCCCTTCCCCCAATTCCCCATCACTGTTCCCATCCCCCCTCAATTACCCAATAAAAATCTTAAAAAAAAAAAAGAATTTGTGAACATATTTTAAAACCACAGCAAGTGATGTATTTGGAAATTAGACAATAAGGTGTGTCATCTCTAATTTGAAAGTAGATGCTGACTAATCTAGTCTGCTTTTAAGTAGAATTGCCTCCAAATCAGTCATTTCTCTAAAATGCAGGCTACATTAAGTTAAACTTGTAGATTATGGTTCAGTGATGCTTTTTTCTAATTGGACATTTGGTAGATTTTTATAATACAAAAACAAACCCTAAGCCTTTGAAGTTTGCTTCTCATTCAACAGAGGAGAACAATATTATTTACTTGTAAATGACATAGTTTTCATTTATTACTGAAATAGTTGGATTTCCTGGTGTAAATGATCCACAGGAGAAAAGAGAGTATAAGTTAGAATTATTTATAGTGGGGAGGGAGGGACCTTTCAGCATTCACAAACCGTGAAGTATGCAACTGTTCTGATGTTTGTAAGGTTAGGTACTATGTTAACCAGAGCCAGCCATGATGATGATGATGGTGATAATGATAGTAGCTAACCTTTACTCAAGACTTTCTATGTGCCAGGTCCTATTTCAGGTGGTTTATATTAGTTAATTACAAGACCTGTGAAATAGATACTGTTACTATACCCCTTTAGATAGATGTGGATGTGGGGCATAAAGGGGTTAAGCAACTTGCCCTAAGTCATGCATCTAGAAAAGGCAGAGCAGCATTCGTGTGTCCGGCTAAGCATTCTGTCACTGTTAAAGGAGTGACTCAGCAAATGCAGCCACTGAATAGAGAGAGCAGCATCTTTTTCTTGCATGTATATTCATTGTGGGGGGTGTTCCTTTGTTCTTTGTTCCACTTGACTAATTCTCTCAAGTTGCCTTTCTTATAACCAGTGTTCCCAGTAAGGAAATGTATGCTAGTGCAGTGTGGTGGTGACAAGTGTAGGCTCGGGAGTCAGAGGGCTGGCCCCTCTTCCAAATCTAGTGCCATTACCGGTTAGTGTTGTAACCTTGGAACATTTTCTGACCTTTAAAATAAGGTTTTCTCATCTGAAAGATGGGATAATAAGAATACTTAAAAAAGAATAGTAGTAAGAGTTCAAGAAAATAATGCATGTATTGTACTTGGCACATAATAAGCATGAAGAATTGGTAGCTATTATTTAATTCTTGTGTTCATTATAATATTACTAATCCTCTATTTTTCTACTTTGAATAAGAATAGTGACTTACTTAGGTCATAAAACTGCATTGTTTTTGCAAAGTAAGATTTAAGATTTATTTCTTTTATTCCTACAGAGATTCTTTTCAAGCCATGTAATAGCGTCTCCTGTTTTTCTTTCTGGGCTTTCATTTTGGTCATAGAGTCTGTATGAGCGCCTTTCTCAGGGAAGCAGGGACCCAAGTGCCTGGGCTATGGGAGCAGTCTAATTTGAATCTCTGACTAACTGAGTTGTCATTGTAAAGAAAGTAGGGAAAGCAGATTAGGTCAGTAGGTTTGAGAGACAGAAGTGGAGCCCTCAAGAAATTCCCTGAGCCAGACAGAATATCTGCAGTCCTTTTCTAGAGCACCTACAGCTTTTCATGGTTGCTGTCAACACATTCAGTTATCGCTTCTGATGTGGTTATTCTCATTCTTTGCAAACTGTTTTTTAAGGGTTGTACAGAAATAATACTTGGGATATATTTTTTGATAAGTGTGTCATTAAGATAGAATAAAAAACTTAAAAACGTTACTTTAATAAAATTTATAGTTACCTATACACTGTTCCCCTTCCCCAATTCCCCAATAAAAAGAATCTTAAAAAAAAACAATTTATAGTTACCTATATAATAGTTGTCTAACAAAAACGTGTTTTCTTTTAACTCTGCCTACTTGATGGCAGTTTTTCTCATTTCATTTTTAGGTTTTAAAGCATCAAATGGAATCAATTTACATTAAAAAATTAGACCAATACAAAGACTTGATATTGAGGAATGACGAGCAATGTCCATCTAATGAAGAAAAGCTCTTGTGTTATAATGGGGAAGTCCTTCTTTTTCGACTGTCTAAAGGAAGTTTTGCAGATGAAGGGCCTGCAGAAATACCCGTATTGCATGTCAGAAGAATGGCATTTGATAGAAGAACAACAGCATTTGTTCAGAAGTCCGCTGGATTCTTTAGCATAAAGGGGGAAAACTCTTCTTTAAAAATTATGTGTTGCAACTGTGTGTTGGATTTCAGGACTGGAATGAACCTCCCTTATGTTGTGATACAATGCAATGAAAAGAATAATGTTTCCAAGTATTTTCTACTATTTCTTCACAGTACCAATACATTTGAAAAGTGTTTGAGTTTTAAACTAGGCCATGAGTTGAAGGACGGCATCAGGGTCTTTAATGGCCCTTTAATTATATGGAAACATGTTGAAACATTCTTCTGTATCTCTCCCCAAACTGGCAAAGTTGTTACTGTGTCTGTTAACTTTTCCTCTATTGAGTGGGCAGGAGAGATTGAAAATCTAGGTATGGTTTTATTAGGACAAAAGCAATGCTGTTTATCTGAGGAAGAATGCACCCCAAAGCCTTCAAAATCAGATTATGCATTTTGGAATACCAAGTTTTGTGTATACTCCCTTGAGCGTGAAGATGTTGTAAGTGATACATACATTATCCCTCCTGCTTATAGCAGTGTGATAACTTGTGTGCATGTCTATGCAACTGAGATTGTCAACAACCAGCTAAGAATGTCTCTGATTGCCCTTACTCGAAAGGATCAGCTGATTTCATTCCAGAATGGGGCTCCTAAAAGTGTGTGCCAGCTTCCATTTGCAGATCCTTATGCAGTTCAACTTATGGATTCAGGTGGAGACCGCCTTTTCCTTGTGTCCTTTGGGTCCAGTCATGCTTGTGCTGTTTGGGAAAAGAACTTTCAGGTACAGTAGTTATTCTCATAATCATTCAGTTGGTGTAATCTTCGACCTATTAAACAGTCCTACACTTTATAGAGTTCATTTGGAGTCTTACTATCCAAATCAGTTTTTAGTGCTGCACTTATAAGAAAGTCGTATATGTTATTCTTTTTTCTCAAAGTTATCTAAATACTACCTGATAAGGGTTTGCCCTGCAGTTTTGAGTCATAAAACCTTTGAGTTGTTTGGAAATATATACATATATAAGTATAATTATTATATATTTATCTTTTACTATAACTATCTCAGTTTTTATTAATGTGGTAACTGGATGCATATTTTTATTTAGAATAATAAGATTATTAGTGACTTGACTTCATAAGCCTTCTTAGACAACTCAAATCAATTCAGCTTTTTAAAGTTGGTAATTATCTATTTAAACTCAAAATAAAATCTAGAGGAATTTCTTGAAATGTATCATTGTCCCTTAAAAGACAAATAATTGTTCTCCAGAGACAAGTGATAAATGTTCATTTTTCTAAAAACTGTTGCTTAGAGAATTTTGTTACGTTATATTTTGAAACTCAGAGTTGTCCTTAGCGAACATTCGCATTTTATCCACATATACAGTAGTCATATCTTTTAATGTAAGGTTTGAAAATTACTTTAGACTACTCACTGGTATAGCATGTTCAGTAACAGGTAAAAGGTGCAGAAAATACATAGGAAATTGGAGGTTTGTAACTGGGTGTCTCCACCAGTAATATTTCTGACCCTGCTGTTTGGTAACCCTGCATCCTCTTGGCTTAAGATATGTATCAGCTCATTCAGTTATGTGATATCAGTGTTTATAATTCAAGATAAATAATCATTGCCTGTCAGAAATGTCTCTTCCAAAAGTAGTTTTTTTAGTGCATTATTACAGCTTTTCAAGTTCTTGTGCTACTTTGGTATGCCCTGTCCTTACTTTGTATGCCCTGTCCGTTTAATTAGAAACTCCATTAAAATTTCTATCACTATATTATCGTGATGATGTGAAACATTGAAAAATATTTTAGAAGATTTGAGAGGCATTTTTTATCATTGCTTGTGTATGTGTGTTGGTGTATGTGGAAGTGTCAGATTGAAATTATGTTTCATCAGGCTTTGCCTTGTAAATTACCTTTATGTTAATGTTAGTAGGGATTATATAACCATATTCAACCTCTGTAACACATAGAGGACTTAAATTCTCAAAAGGAAAATAATTTGAAAGCTATCCTATTTTATTTTGAAAGATGTCTTTTAAAAGCACATTCTAGGGCCAGCCGAGTGGCTCAATTGGTTAAGAGCTCACTCAAGAGTTTGAGCTCTGAGCAACAGCGGTTCAAGTCCAGCCTGAGCTGAGCAGCCGCTGAGCTGCCAACAGGTGGCAGGATGGCTCAGCTAAAAAAAAAGAAAAAGCACATTCTACTCTTATTTGAAGGTTATTTGGAAGGTAACAGTTTCTGTCTTTTTTTACTTCTTTTCCTTTCAAGAAAGGGTGGAGGGAAACACCTGGTATAGCCTGCAATCCTCATTGGGGTCAGGGTCGTGGAAAGCACTGGGTTTGAATCCCAATTGAGCCACTCAATGGTGTTCCCTTAAGGAGAGTATTTCATTTCTGTGAACTCGTTTTCCTTCTTTATGAAATTGAAATCATCCTACCTCTGAGAGGGGAGAATCAAATGAAGTGACACAGTGAAGTGTCTAGCACAGTGCTTGGCACATCAGTAAAGATAGCTGTTAGTATATTAGGCAGGGGCCAGGGCTGCCGTCAGTGACGGGCCTACCAACGGTCTCTTACTCACCTGGATAAGGAAAAACAGTTTCCTCTTGCCTCATTGACTCTGGAATATAATCCTCACTCCCTTGAAGTGGGTCCCCTGCCTGGACACTGCAGAACTCTGCCACTTCAAATGTTACCCCAAGCAGGAGACGATGTCACTCCCCATAAGTGGGCCTGTCACTGTTGGCCTCCCCGCCTAGAAATTGTGTTCTGTGGTTCTTTCTCTACGATGGACCACAGTCCTTTCCATAAGTTACTTACCTGAGTCTCTACTGCCTCACACCTTCAAATACCTCTGCAGGGGTTCTGTACTTCTGAGCGGTTCTCAAATGCCCTGTATTGAAAGCGCTGGAGTTACACCCTGACAGCTGCCAAGTTAAATGCTCCTAAAGAGCCTAAGTAACCTTGCCACTCCGGGAGTTTTGCAACTCCTGCCTCTGTGTTGGTGTTGCATTTCTACTAACCTAGTTAAAAAACATTGGCTATAGCTTAGGGTAAAATATTTGATTACTTTAAAAACAGGAATGAAGGCTAAGAATCTACAAATTAAAGGGCGAGGAGAGTTAAGGGAAGTAATTGCATTTGAGCAAATCATGAGTAGCTTTTGTCTTCTGAGGCTTTCTCTCGAGTAGAAATTATCTCTGCAAGTTTTGGCAAGAATCCAATATATCCAGAATATTATTCTTTGGGTATGTTTGGCAAGAATCTGTAGCATTTCAAAATTGAGATCATTGTCAAATATACCTGAAACGGATATTGGTATGTTACAGATAGAAAGAGGTTAATGTGTTCTAGAGGTGTTCTGTCTGATACGGTACCCACTAGCCACATGTAGCTATTCAACATGTGGCTAGTCTGAAGTAGAATGTTCCGGAAACGTCAAATACACAGATTCCAAAGACTGAATACTATAAGCAATTGTAACACCATGGTAAGCATTTGTATGTCTAGACATATCTAAACATAGACTAGGTACAAAATAGACAAGTAAAACATAGAGAAGTAAAAAATGAAAGTAAACTATCTCAATACTTTTATTGACTATATTGAATTGAAATGATAATATTTTGGATCTATTGGATTAAATAAAACATAATAAAGTTACTTTTTTCTTCTCACTGCTGTTAGAGAATTTTCTTTCATTGGCTACTTGAAAATTTGAAATTATATGTATGCCTTGCATGTGTGGCTTGCCTGCGTGTCTTTTGGACAGCAGAGTTCCAGAGCTGTAGATTGCAAATGTGTGTGTGTAGTCATGAGTGCACAGCTTCGTGGTGTTTGCATACTGAACACATTCTTATTACTGTCTCTTCCTGTAGTTCATTATACTCCACGATACTTGTGAGAGATTAGGAGGACGAGAGGATATGGTTTTACAAATAAGCTTCCTCCTGTGTAAATGAAAAATCACTGCTTTGGAAATTAGCCTTATAAGGGAAAGATTGATTTTTGGTTACATAGATTGAAGAGTCTTATATTCTTGCTCTAATGCAGGCCACCCTCTTGTATCATCTATTTGATGTATCTGTGCTCCTGGGATTCTCAGTGGGAGTTTTAGCTTTGCTTGAGGGAGAAGGGGTATCTGATCCCCGTGATGATAGTTTTTCAGAGGACTTATGGACCTTTAAAAAGTTATCTTCTATTTTAATCTTGGGGTCCTCACATTCTAGTATAAACTGGTCAAATTACTCTGTTAGGTTAGGATGGTTCTAGGTGCCCCACTATTAGGATCCCTCCTCTTTTGTGGTCCTGATAATGGCTATGTTCTCTCCAACAAGGATTTAGGGTATTAAGTTCATCTTGACTCTTAAAGTGTATACTTGTACCTTGTATTTACCTAATACAACTGAGTTTCTTGTCCGATCAGAAATACATATCCACCAAGGCTTATGGGAGTGAGGGCCACCCTAAAATTAACTGTGTTAGAGAAAGAAACTACTCGAGTTACTCATGAGAAATGTTAGAATTTCCAAACTATTTAGTCATGAGAAGTATTAGAATTTATACGTTATAATAAAATTTTAGTATAGAAACCAACAACATTATAGTCCCTGGACAAGTGTTGATAAAATTTTAAATTTAAGTACCTTGCTATTTATAGTTATAACTCCTTATGTTTTCTGGTCCCTCGATATATTTATTTTTGTTTTTAGTGTTCATAGTACCATTTTCATTACTTGTGTCTAAGGTTGAAGATAAGAAATTACAACTGCATGCAACAAGACTTCACAAGTGATTTTTTTTTTCTTCTCTGTTCCTTCTTTACAACTCTTTCTTTCAGATTGCTGCTAAATGGGAAAAAATTAGCTCAGCACTGATAGATGACTTTATTGGAACTGGAAGTGAACAAGTACTGCTACTTTTTAAGGACTCCTTAAATTCAGATTGCCTGAGTTCATTTAAAATAACAGATCTTGACAACATAAACTATTCAGTAAGTTCTGTTTACTTTTTATACATGACTTTAAGCACCATTTTAGGAAATTTGAGCACTTTAAAGCTTTTGACCCACTATTTAAATATTTGTGATTTCATACTCAAACTTTTTGAACTTTAAAAATATGTGGATTGAATCTTTTAAAAATGCAGTCATATGCCTCTCAAAAAAGGGGGTACGTTCTGAGAAACATGGTGTTAGGTGATTTTGTCGTTGCGTGAACATCATAGCATGCGCTTACACAAGCCTACGTGGTCTAGCCCACTGCACACCTAGGCTGTGTGGCACAGCCTATTGCTCCTGGGCTACAAGCCTGCACAGCGTGTCACTGTACTGAATGCTGTAGGTAATTGTAACACCATGGGAAGCATTTGTGTGTCTAAACACATCTAAACATAGAAGAGCTACAGTAAAAATACAGTAAGAAAGATAAAAAGTGGCACACCTGTGTAGGGCACTCAGCATGAATGGAGCTTGTAGGACTAGGTGAGTCGGTGAGTGAGTGGGAGTGAATGTGAAGGCCTAGGACATACTGTCCACTGCTGTCCATTTTATAGACACTGTACACTTAGGCTACATTACATTTATTTTTAAAAATAAGGTTCAACCAAGCACACAAAAAAATGCAATCAAGAGATGAGGCAAACTTGAGATCCATGAGGCTGTTGGTGTAATATACCATACTGTTTACAGCAAACTATATAAGTCGAAAGAGTAGACTATAAAATAATGATAAAAAGTCTAGTGTAGTCAATACATAAGTCAGTAACAGTCATTTATCATGATGACAAGTGTCATGTACTGTATATAATTGTATGTGCTATACTTTCATACGACTGACAGCATAATTGGTTTGTTTGCACCAGCATCACCACAACATGTGAGTAATGCATTGTGCTACAATGTTATGATGAGTCCAATGTCACTAGGTGATAGAAAATTTTCAGCTCCATCATAATCTTATGGGACCACCCTTGTATATGTGGTCCGTGGTTGACCGAAATGTCATTATGTGGCACATGATTGTATACATTGAGTCACCTTTCAACAGATGTTACACAAATTGATTATGCCTTTGAAAATGGTATATATGGTGGTCACTCAAGTGATAAATTAACTTATTGTTGCTTCTGAAAATCATATCAATAAATGTGATATTGGATTAGTTAAGGAATAAAATCAAGTGAAAATGCTTTATTAAAATAAGCAGCAGTTCATAATATCTTAAGATCCTGGGCATGAGGGAAATAATACCCTGGAAATTTCAGATCTATATAAAATTCCTCTGAGACTCAATTTTTTTCATTAGTACAATAAGGATAATTCTTATTTTCTCTAGTTATGGGATTTTACAATTTTATAAAAATCTAGTAAGCTGATACTTGTTGAAGGCAGTATGCAAATGTTACATGGGTGGTAATAGTGGTAATAATAGTAATTTTT